TGTGTAACGCGACCGCGGGCATCGATTTTTGGTCCGAAACAACATATAACACCTGTAATAAGCGACCACTTTCGCGAATGTATCTGGTCTAAACTATTGTAAGAACCCATCTCAACAACGTTTCCCCCTCCTAATATAATAAATTAGTCTAAACTCTTGTTCGAACCCATCCCGGTCACTTCTCCCACCCTTGAAATTAGGTGCAGGTGTTAATAAATTAGTCTAGTAACAAAAGAAATTCATTTGTTTTGTTGCTAGACTAATTTATTAACACTAATTTAGACTAATTGTTTTTCGGACATTTTCCAACAAAGAAATTCATTTGTTTGTTGGAAAATGTCCGAAAAACAAAAGAAATGTACTGTCGTTAGAAGATCGTATTAATTAAAGTTATCACAACAGCAATTAGCAGCGAAGTTTAACCGTGGGAAAATGAAATTTATTTTATCATAGACCTACAGTATTTTCCTTGGGGGTGTAAAATATTGTACACGATACAATTAATCTGCTGATCTCATCGTTTGATAAAATCTATTTTTATTTATTTATTTTGAAGCTCATATACAGTACACGTGCGATNATTGATTGCCTGTTTTTCCTTGAATCTTTTTGTTAATCATGTTCAAATGAATCTAAAATCATACTGAACGAATGTTGTATATGATCTTTGTATATAATTATTTGTATTATTTAATTTATTATTAATTTCTATTTAATTTAATTTAATTTTAATTTTATAATAAAATAGATTGGTTATTCAGGCCAAACACCATTTGTAGAAAGTTAGTTTTGTATTATTTTGAAAAACCAAAAATAAATCTGAGTGATAATGAAACATGAATATACCAGATTTTTAACCTGGTATGTTCATGGTTATATTCCTGGTATATAAAAGGTTATATTTTAAAAAAAGTCAGTTTAAAAAACTTCTCACCATAAATGACAAATTAATCTTCTCTATTATTACTGATTTATGAGTAGAAATTATTTAAAACTAAATATTTACAAAGACTACAGCTTTATTAATTTAATATTACCTCCAATTGCATTCCACCCTGACCATAACCTCTTCAGTGAAATATAACATCATAATCCATAGCATTTTTTGCATCACAAACATTACTGTTATAGTCAGGATAAAATACATTTGGAGGTAATGTTAAATTAATAAAGCTGGTTCCTTTTAGAAAAAAGTTGTAGTCTATAGTTCTTAATTAAGTCTTCTTGAAATTCGGTAAAGACAGAAAAGGATATTTTCTCGTGATTGCTTTTTAAGTTTATAAGGTTTCTTTTCAACTTTTACCTTTTTTAAAATATAACAAATTCTATTGTTTAAATTTTTCAATTATATTTTATACTAAAATTATGCTTTCAATGAGTACAGACCACGCAATCACTTTTAGAGCAGATATCACATGAATATCTGTATCTGTAGTATACGTGTAAACTCGTGGAACATAAAGCCAGAAATTGAAGAAATACATAAATATTTTCCAGAAGATGTATGTCTAAAAGGGTCTAGATTCCTTCCCTGTGTATTTTTAAGGCCGACAAATTTATCCCCGAGACCTCAGCTGAAGTTGCTATTTATAAACATGTATTACGGCTCAGATAATTGTGATTGATTGATAAAAAGAAAGTTTTGCGTATACTTTTTAAATGAACTTAATATACTGTAGAAGCAATGTTGAAAATATCTATGAATGATGCTTATTTGTATTTTATAAAAACAAAATCCTTCTCTTTAATGATTTGTAGAGACTACTTTTATTTTATCTTTATAACAATAGTTGAATTGTCTACATCATTGATAATTCTTTCTAAAAGTGGCAGTTTGAAAAGTATTATTATGTCATTATGAACATTATAAATGTTTTTAAATTAAATATGATAGTTTTATGAATTTTAAAAACCGAAAAATTATATTTTGGTCGAGAAAGTGAAGAGTTTTGTCAAATGATACAGTAAGGATCATTCATAATTTATCTTTTTATGTTTACATAGTGAATTATAATAGGTCCAGCCTCTTACATCAGAATAAATTTTACCTTTTTAACTGAGAAAACAATTGAAAGTTTTATTCTTGCATAATTAAGAACTGTATACACAAAGAAAGAAAATCAATTATGATAACCATGTTTGCAAGAATCTCTTTTAGAGAACGACAGAGACCCAGACCACTTCTATTTTTGAACTCTTGATATATTTAAAAAATGAAGAAATACCAAAATAGATTACAAAATATCTAAATTTCAAGAATGTGTTGTGTGTGTAAGGACCTAACCAAACGGTCTTTCTGGCTCCAATAATAAAATTTAATCTAAAGTGGTAAATACTTGAAATTCAATTTTACCAATTCTGAAACGCTTATCATCTTATGATATACCACCAATGAATTCAATTTTCTAACCTTTTAATAAATGATTTAATATCTTATACATTATATATCAATTAGGTTTCATTAATCAATTATAATTAACATTAATTAAATTTTACAAAACGTATAGTTTATTTCAAGTTATTCCCTGATAATTTTATTTTTAATTATAATAATATAATTTTTACCGGTTTTAAATAGTTTTTCACTAAAATTTAATATTAAAAATCATACAGACTAAGACTTTGATTTCTTACTCTGCTTATATGAAGATTAGAATCATCAATATTCATAAATGAAACATCTATATGCGGGACAACCGGATATCTCACAAGAAACATTGGATCACGGTTGGATCTAGTCTTGTTGCAATCCTAAGCTATAACATATAATAGGATTTTCCCTCCATTAAGTAATGATACATGTAAAAGTGTGAGCCATAAGCTAAACAGTCAACGCAGCGACTTGTTTAGCTTATGTGCCTTGAAAATACGAGTATTTAAAGAAAGAATAGAATAATTATAAACACCGATCCATCCATTTCCTATTTTTAGCTTTAAACTGATCTTCGCACCAAGTCATTCTCAATTTATGCAATTACTATCCATATTTACATTTACTATCGACTTTGTCTTACTGGATTTAATCTTTAATTTTATCTGACAAATGCAAAATAAACAATAAAGATATTAAATTCATTAAGACATATTTGATTTGTTTGTTCGTGCAACATAAGAAAAGAAATTATTGTGCCAAATAATCGAAACTATTCAAGTTTTAAATGCAAATAAGTGATCCAAATCTTCAATTAATGTTTGTTTTATTAAATAATGTAACTATCGAAATTGTAGATATTTAGAATAAATACACAATAAATTACTTTATAATAAAATGTAAATATAACAAAATCTATAAATGTTAAAAGCTTGAACGTGACTATTTTTAACTTTTTAATTTAAAAATTTTCATCTGTAATTTACTCAAATTTTAATAAAAATTACTTAATATATAGTAATCATTTTTTTCTTATTCTTTTAAAAGCAGCTTATTAAATTTTTAATACTGTAATTAATTTTTAAATCATTTTCAGATATTTTAAAGTAAAATTATGTTTGTTGGAATTTTTACTAAAAATGCCTATTTATAATAATTTAAATTATATGAATTTATATTATTATTTATTTTCATTTTCATAAAAGTCGCATTAATTATAAAGAAATTATACTTCTTTCTTATAGTTTATTCTTCTCACTCCGATGAAATTAAAAGGATAACGCAACTCGTGAGCGATCTGCCAAGAGTGATGCCTCCTGGAAGGACTTTCTATGGGAAATTAGCCGCTATTCAGATGTTAGACACATCTTCAAGAAAACACAAAAAAAAACCCCATAAAATTAATTACAAAACAAATTAACTCAACTACATGAATATTTTAAGTTCGTTATTAATATATATTTTTAAAACACATTCGATTTAACGAACTTTCGGCAATAGCGGACACGTCTTTCCCCCAATTAGTCCGTCGAATCGAAGATTTACTATATGTGTGTGTGTTAAAATTTACTTCTTTTGTAGCATCATAATTATAATTTATTGTTAATATTAAACAGTTCGGCAGAAAATATTGAATTCTTTAAAATTTTCATATTAAAGAACAAATATTTATCTTCTTAAAACTTTCTTTACTAACTTTTTTAAACTTTTATTAATAAATATGAATTTCTAAAATAAATCCAATATGATATTGTTTTACATCCAAGGTATATTTTTAATATCATTTTAAAAATCTTATTTATAAAAGTTTCAAAAGTTATAAAAGTCAATCATTGAAACGACCAATAACTATAATTTTTTATAGGTTTTGATATAAAATGGTTAATTAATCTATGCCTTTTACGCATCAAGAATAAGCAAAAGCAATAAGTCACAATATCAATGAAAGATTTAACATAAAAACATAGAAAAATTAACATATAACATTAACACCATTTAACATAGAAAAAGATACTTCTTGTTCTCATCATCATATGTTATAAATATTCTTTATAGTTAATTTCTGTACATTATACTATAAAATGGCTGAAATCATTTGCAGCATCTTAAATCGCCAACCAATCTTCGTTTCTTATACCAAACGATCCTATAAATGTACAGAGAAGCAGGAGCAGATCAAGAACGAATTCTTCCAATACATTATCAGGCAAGTATCCCTAACAACCCTATCAATGCACACGAAATTATAAATCTGGCAAATAATAGACATCGTTGGCAAGCGGAAATTGCCAGCTTCGTTTCCAATCAGGTCTAATCATCTTCGTTTCTGTGTTTACCTTTCGGCAAATAAATGATGGTGATGCGTCAATTAATGATTTGAAATAATAATAAATCATTCAAAAATTTTAAACATTGATTTTTATTTTCAAAATTTGTTCTTTTTTGCTTCAAAGTGACAACTTACGATCAACAAACAAATTGTTTTACTGATAATTATTGTATACAGATATATAATAATCGATTAAAATTGACAAAAAAAAATTTGATATTATTATATACTGATATACAAATAAAAATATTTCAAATAGAATAAATATTATCCATATTTTATAATTTTATTAACCGTACGTATATATGAAAAAACAATTGAAATTTAAAATTTGAAAGCAATTTACCAACCTTAATTCTTTTTTTCAAATCGTATACAATTAATACGTCATTTTTTAAATTATTAACTTGTCGATTTAAACATAATCATATCAATGGATATTTTAAAATAGTTATATAGTTTTAAAATGTGAAATTCGTTAAGAAAATAAAATTTATTTACAAAACGTCACCATATCAATTTTAGTAAAAAGGACAGCAACGATTTTTCTCAGCATTGGCATCACATTTAACACTTTTGCACCTTATATAAAATATCAGCAGTGATTTTTGTGTAGCAAAGCTATCTAATTTTTAAATATTAAAAGTTTTATTTATTTATTTTTTGCATTTTTTTTATAATTCTAAATCAAATTTTAAATAAGTATAAAACGAAAAATCGCGTAATTTTTTAGATCTCAATATACAGGGCGACTCAAAAGTCAGTTAACCATCACAAAGACTAAATAATAAATCATATTTTTTTTTATTACGCTTCCATCAATTTATAAAAGAAAAAATACGTGTTCTAAACTTACGTTTGCCAGAAACACTTAAAACAAGGTAAACTGACTTTCGGGCCTGTCTGTTGTAATCTTTAAAATTCAGTATTATTAAAAAAATAATAATAAATTTAAAATTCAAATTAATATTTACAAAAATAAGCAATTTATACAAATTACAAGTTAAATCTTATAGTAAAAAAAGAAAAAAAAATGAATTAAAAAGTAAAATAAAATCAATTCAGATTCATTAGGAATTACATGAAATGCAAATTTTAATTTGGGGAATATAAATTTTGTTCTTATTTCAATATCACGGAATGAAAAGACGAGAATAAGAATGTGTGAACTTTATAGATTTAGGTGATAATTTACTAAATGGCAGCAATAAATACGCAGAAATTTTATTTATTTTCACCCGAGGAATTATTTACTCATTAGAATAAATTAGGAATCATTTTAGGAAGAAAATTTTATATATATATATATATATATATAATTTAGTTATCAAATTTTATTATTAGTTTATTTAAGAGGATGTTAATTTGAAATTGCTTTTAATGATATCCTTAATAAATTTTAACTAATTAAAAGACAAAAAGACATAGGAAAAAAGGTTCTCAAAATAGAAGAGGGAATGTAATTAGAATAGTGATAATTTATTTTCGTTTAAAAACTTGAGACACGAATCAACAACTGAAAAAATTAGCGGTTGAAGTCTATCTTAAAAATAATTTTTCTATTTAAAAAAAAAAAAAAAATAGAATAAATTTCCTTCGATGTTGAAATTATCTTGCATCATTAATTCTAAAATTAATTAAAATGATCTTCGTATATGAATAAACCCCTCGAAAACTGAATGAAAAAATTGAATAGATTAAAAAGTCTTTCGAATAAATGATAATTATAATCACTAATGATATGATAATTAGGAAATATTAACAGTTATATTCCACAATACTTTCTAATGCTTTCGAGATATATTCTAGACTTTCTTTATTATCCCATCTGCCATTTTATTAGCCTGTACTCTCTTATGAACTAATTTAAATGATCCACATAATTTGAAACAATTAATGTCAAATAAATTCCTAATATTAGAAAGAATATAATAGTAATTGAAGGTAATGTTTAATCTGAGGATTGACGAATTTGTTTTGTTTTTGTTTCTTTTTTTTATCAAATAGCATTATAAAGTTTAGTCCATTATCATCATTTAAAAAGACTCACTAATACATCACAGATTTCACACACTCCACTGTACAAATCTTCATTTAGATAAATAAAATATTAAATGGGATGACAATATTAATACTGTACGCTATTGTTGGACCGGGACATCCAATCTTCTCGTCAAATTATAACACATATATAGGAAACATTATGCTTGGCATTTATGCCTCTTTCCGTAATTTTCGACGTGCTTGTGAAGATCCTTCTGAAATGCCTCGTTAACGGGCATCGTACCATGAAATCCATCACGATCGGTCGTAAAATAGGGCTTTCCAGATCTGTCGTGGAAGGACACGTGAGGAATACGAAAATATCGGAAAAATAAAGGACGAGTACGTTTATCATCATAGTCCTCTCGCTTGCAGCATTGATTATGTTTGGTCTCATGATATTCTTTGAAACAAGTCAGTATAGAACAACTCTGTAAATAAAATTAAAAATCCTATTTAATTTCTATCCATTTTTCTCATAACTTAGCCTATATTTACATTTATCCTAAAATCCTATTTGTTTAAATTGCATATCCTATCCTAAATTTGCAAACAATTATTTAATTTACAAAAACCTCATTACTTTTCATATATATTTCTTACAATTTCTTTAAAATATTTTTATTATATATTAATAATATATAACATAAATTTAGATTTAAAAATTTTTTCTTGAAGAGTCAGGTAACGCACTAGTGAAAATAGTTTTGAAAACAGAATATATTTGAATAAATTAAAAACTTGCTTATTAATTTAATAATTTTTTAAATCACCAAATAGTAATTTATCCTAAGGCTCTTATTTATAAAGAACACTATTGTCCATGCAATCACAACTTACTTACTGGAAAATGCTGTGTTATTACATACTAGCAATTGTTTCAACTAAAATGTTATAATTACTTATTGATATAAACATATTTTTATCAATCATTCAAGGGTTTTCCCAGACAATTTCAATTATATACATACACCCACACACGAAACGTTTAATTCAAAGTATGTGCACAACGCATACTATTAACCTATTTTTATACTTTGGTATCAACTAGCAAATGTAAAAAAGGAGGTTTCCTTAACACCTAAAAACGTAAAATGTCATTAACTTAAAATAACTTACCATAAAAGGAAAGTTATAAATTAATATACGAAAGATTTCGAAAAATATACTTAAATATTTAAATGTTTTTAATTTTATTTTCAATACTTTTCTATGGGAGCTATCCTATGGGTTCTATCCTGACCTGCCTAACAGTATGGGTCTTTTTCTCTTTTCTTTTTTTTTTTTTTTTTTGGATAATTTTAGGTTGATCAGGATTATCTGAATAATTCTGATCTACATAAAATAATAATTGTCATAAACAAAGTTCATTATTCAATGCTTAACATTAACAACTTCAACGATGAATATTTATATAAATGGTCTGTCAAGTTTCTGAAATTATGTAATGAGAAAACAAATTTGTTGAAGACAAATGAATAATTAACTGGAAAATGTGAGAGAAATATATAATTTTTAGTTTAATTCTTGGAACATATCTTTAGTTCTCACATTATTTAAATAGAGAATTTCAAAAACTTCGTACAAATTCTCTTCTTTAAAATTTAATACATGATAAGCTTTAAATGATATTTGCAGCGAAAAAGATTTGAAAAATTGTAGTTTTATTAACGAAGTATATGTCCATTGTGAATTAATATTACATGTATTAAGTCTATTTCGATTTAATAAAACTTCAATTTTACTTATTGTAGTCGATTTGGATGATCGGATGGCCAGAGCGGAGTCAGCTTACAGCTCTGTGGAACCCGGAATCGAATCCGGGCTGGAGGAATTTTTCGGTCCTAAACGCTCCCATCGTGGTCGAACTCACGATTGGGCAAGGACAAAAGGCCCACTTAGCAGTGGCGTATACAGAACTTTGAGTACAGTATATGGGTACTGTTCAAGGCAGATTCAGGTGAACCAAGGCACGTTTCCCCTGTTGTCTTTCGGATAATTTCACTGAATTACTTTAATTACCTAATTGAAGTCACGCGATTTGCGTTATTATATTTGTTTTTGTTCTAAACTAACAGAACTGATTGCTTTGATATGAAAGGGCACCATAAGCATCACTCTGATACTCCCTTGCCTCTTAGTTCCCAGAGCGAAAAGAATTAAAAATAGTAATAATAAAAATAATTGCAATGAAATTGTTTCAATAAAATTATTTATTTATACATTGTTATTTAAAAATTGGAAACTTATTCGCTTGGATTTTTTTCGAGTTTGAAATCATCGACGTGGATCCCGATTATCATTGAAAAATCATGAATGACCAAGTAATATTTGAACCTAAATCTTTCATTTATAGAAAATTTTTTTATCTTATTGCAATCTCATAAGTCTATTATATCATAAATTTTATATAGGCCTATACGAATCTATATACAAGCTGAATTTTGTCTAAGACTTTGATAACTTTAATATATACGTATAAATATATACAAGATATAATGCCCAAGAGCGATAGATAAATGGTTAAAATTGAATTGAAAAACTATTACTATTACTATCTTATAAAGAAGTAATAGTAATAGACGTTTTTCTTTGTTTTCAATTCAATTCGATATATAGTAGTGAATTTTTGTTCCATTTTCTCTATTATTTTCAAACGTTGAGTTGTTTTCTCTTGACTAGGAAGCTCCTCCAAATGTAACATAAAACACTGCTTACGATCGATTTACAATAGACCAAACAATTGTTAAGTTAAACCTATACTTTCTGACAGACTTGACAAATTTAAACTCGAACGTTCGAATATTCTATTTATTTATTCTCAATTTTACAGTCTTCTTTATAAATAATTTATAAGAAACAATAAAAATATATATTAAACAGCTTTATTTTGTGAAATTTTAAGATAATTAAAACTTGAAATTTAATTTCTTTGACTGAAAAATCTTGAATTTCGCTTGAATTCTTTGGATATTGGGAATAAAAATTGTAAATCATCATAATTAATATTTATATATTTTTTATTTATCATCCTCAAGTTTTAGACTATTCCGTTTGATGTTATTTTGAACAAATTTCACAGGAGTTCTTATTTTATTTAACAGTTCAAATGTATCAACTATTATACTCTTTAAACTAAACTTGACATTGTAATAAAAAATTTAATTTTTTAATTATGAGATATTTATATAATGCCAAATGTTATCATTTATTTTTCTTTTCTTATATAAAGAATCCCATGGATTAAGGATACAGGAAACAGAATTGAATAAAAGATGACAGAAGCATCAAATATATCATATAACCGTTGTGTTATCATCAAAGAAAGCACATTTTCTCAGAAATATCTAAAATTAATATAATAAATTAACATATAGAAGACATACATAGGAATACAAAGACAAAATGATGTGGTACTTCTATGCTTTTCAATAATATTAAATAATTTACATGTGTAGATTCTTTTATAATATCTGAATCTTCAGTTTTATCATATTCTGAAACATATTTTATGTATTATAGAAATATTTTAAATTAACTTTTTCTACTTGAGAAAGAGTATAGAAAAAAATAAAATATTCAAAATAAAATATTAGAAAATATTATTTTAATACATCGAATTTGCTATTCATCTAACTGGAATGAATTTAGAAGAATATTGTTAAGAATTTTCAAAAAAATTCGAAGATTTGATGAATTATGTAAGGTTCATAAATATTCATCGATATATATATAGGAGACAACTGTTCTGAAATGTTTTATAGGAAAGTGATTGATAGAATACTCCGAGTAATTTTTTTCTACAGGTTTGACAAAGAGATTACTTTGTGAAATATTCCGACTAATATAAAATAACATCCACACTTTGAACTGTCGTAAGAAATAATATAAACCGTTTTGCAGATATTGATTTTAGATCCGTTACAAGCAGAATTCGAAATATTGGATTGCGGTTCCCTCTCCTGGCATTTGTACTTAGAATGCATTCACGCCTAACCTTTATTTTTTAAAGTATTAAATAAGCTATTTTATAAAATTGCAGTGTCTTATGCTTTTAAACTAAGTATTACATAATCGTGCTGTCTAAAAATAATACTTTTATATTGTATTTATTTAAAATAACTTGATATTTTTTGAAGAATTATAATAGAATTTTATTCTTTTATAATTTTTAAAGCACTTTGTCTTTTTACCGAGTTCGCCCTTATTCGATTATAAATATAAAACGATTTTTAATTTATTATTTTATTAAAAGCTTAAAATTCAAGTAAATGCCGATAATTTAATCAAATAAAATCAGTAAAATAATTTTAAATTGTTTCATTATATATATTTTCTTTTATAATCAAAAAGAAGAAAAGCTGGCAAGAGCTCTTGTACGACTTTCCCAGCACTGGAATAGGAGGTTAAGCCTTATTTTTGGAGTAGGAATGTGTTTTTAAAACAATTGTAAGTGCCAATAATATTTGTTTTTAATAAGCTAAAAACTCGTACGAGTAAAATTTTCATTAAATGTGATACCACTCAAAATATGCCTTCTTATCTACCCCTCTTGACTTATAATCTCCAAAATGTAATAACATCAATGCTCCATATATAGAAGGTATTCCTGACAAATTTCAAAATTTTTGGTCCATGCGGTCCTAAAACGTAAAGCAAAATGCAGGTTTGGTTTATTTGGTTATGGCAATACAACGCCTAGACATTTGCCGAGGGAGGATGCCTCCCGAGAAAACTTTTATGGGAAACTTTCCCAATTTAGGTGTTGCAAATGTTAAGAATGCCCGAAAATTCCACGTGGAGTTTTTCGGGTTTTCTTAACGTTTATAGCACTTAAATAGAGGACAATTTCCCACAAAAGCTTTCCTGTTGTCAAAGCGCGAACCCACGATCATGACCGTGGGTTCGCGATCAGTAGTTCAGTAGTTTTATCCACTTGGCTACTGGTGGGTCATAAAGCAAAATACAGACCAGCACATCCATACATATAGAACTTTGTTTCCCCTATTTTTTAATTTTAATATTTTTGAAAGCCTTAAAATATAAAAGTAAAAAAAATCATGTAAAAAACGGATGATAGAAATTTAACCGATTACAATCTTTTCTTTTTATTCTATAACACCCCACGAGAAAGTAAAATTAAAGAATATTAAGTATCTACTTACAATATATACACCAATTCCTCCTCCTAACAGGAAACCAACTACAACATCAGACCAATGATTGCGATGTAAACCAATTCTAGAACATCCGCACACCAAAGCAAGTCCTGAGATGATGAGAATTAGTGATGGACGTAAAAGTCGAGATGATCGAGTTGACATAATGTTATGGATATAAATCTAATAAATAATTTAATAATTTAAATTTTAACGAACCACCAAATTAATCTGAATATATAATTTGTATATTTACCATAATAAAAACCGCAGCATAAGCAGAAAGAGAAGCGTATGCCGATGGAAAAGACATCCTATAAAATATAATAAAAGATAAAATTAGGAGTTATTTCATTTGCTTTGTTATATATACATCTGTGTATTTGTACTGATAAATTATCGTTACATGTTTATATTTTAAAGAAACTCTATAGTTTCAACAGGTTCATTAAGCACTATTGATAGACTTTTGAACAAAGATTAAAAATTGCTATCTTAGGAAGATTTAATGAAGAACATAAAATATTTTAACAAATCCTTTAAAAATTCACTTGATAAACTATCGTATTTTTAATATAAATTATGCATTTATTTAATTTAAAATAGCATTTTTATATTGATACATTAAAAATAAATCAATACCTGGCTTCTCTCAGTTTATCTTCGGGTGTTTTGCAAACTACCTGAAAAGGAGAAATATACATATACTTCGTAGACTGACATACAGTATTGTTGACACCACACTCTTCGATAAAATACGGTCTGTGCCGACCTGTAGATAGCTTCAGTGCGTCAGTTAGGATACTTGTGAATAGCAATCCAAACATATACGTCCCTGCACATATGTAAAATATATTTATTAATCCAATATATTAAAATGCGTTTATAAAAAGTCGAAATAAATAATTTGTAAAGGAAGTGATTCAATTATTTTTGTAAGATTATTTATAATTATTAATAGATCGCTTCGTAATAATAAATTAGGGATTCTTAACATTAGCGATAGGGTCTTGGAAACTTCGACGTTAAGTATAAAGAGATCAATTTTACCATAGAATAAATAATGTAATCAAGATATAATTCGGTTAATATTATTCTAATTGAATCAATCATGTTTACAACTTCCAGCATTCATTTTCCATTTCATAGAATCAGTTTTACTGTTTAGAGAAAATTCGATAACGACAATTGTAAATTATTACAAATAAAGCTTACTTGTATCATTCCTCAACGACGTTAAGTGAGAACTTGCTGTGCATCACCTACCAGAAGCAAAATTAGATTTACGGTGATTTAAACATTTGCATTAAAATATTAAATAATTCAGAATCGCTACTACTGCTTTGATAATTTCTGTAAATTTGCGAGATAAAAAACGACGACTAATAGCTTGCCGCTTGATAAAGGATCATCCTGCAATCTGTAAAGATTCTGGGATCAAGCGCTACGATTTCGTAATTTTTCATGGGCAGTTCCGATAAAGACGTCGTTATTCGTCTCATTCTCGCTTCACATCAACTGGAAAATGGCAATCGAGTATCAGACAACCCATTACGAGTAAAATGAGACCGTATATAAGAGCTCCATTGCATTTATAAAATCTAAATTCGTATAAATACCAATTACATTTCGTTATTTAATCAGATTCCCATTTGAAAAACACTAAAATATACTGCATTGGATTTAAAAAACGTGTTATAAAATTTAATTTCTTATAAAATATAATGTAGGTTTATCTTGAAAATTCTATTAATGGTTCTTGACTCGCAACGAACTGTAAAATGTGAAAATTTTTCTGGCGAAGTGCGCCAGAAAAATTATATGTAACTGTGTATTATAATAGCTTATAAAGACCTAACCTAACTATTAGTTTATCATGGATGCAGTAAATTGGTTTCTTCTCGTTTTTAAAATATACTTTCATAATATTCGTGGCACATTTAGTTATCTCTTGAGCGCATCAGTGTGCCTCGGTCCACCAATTTAAAAAGTCCGTAAAGTATAAATTTCAAAAATTAATTTGATAGTTCGCCTAACCGACCACACACGTAAAAAATAAATATTTTAATGTAAAAAGTATCAATAATGGTTCGAAAGACTACTAAATTATATATTTTATTCGATTCTAAATTTTTAAACGTTTAATTTCTTATAAAAATATTTTTAAGAATGTGGAATAAGGTCAATAAAATTGCAAAAAAAAAAAAGAAAAAAGTCCAGATACGATCTAACGTGAAGATTTTTTTTTTCCTTCAAGAAACTAACCGTGCAATGTATTTAGTTTGCTCACCACTTACAGCGAGGTAAGACCGAATATAAACAAGTTTTAAAAACAAATTTAAAAATTTTTTAAAAGATTTATCTATATTTTATATTTTAGACCATGATTCTTTAATATAAAAGTATTCGACAAATTTTATTCCTTAACGATTTAAATATACTTACATGTATTAGGTGTTGCAAATGTAACGACATTTTTGTATTACCAGTAAAATGATAAATTTTCAAAACGTTACCGTTTTTTTTTTTAATCGGTAAATTACTGGCAATTTTTAAATTTTGACTCCAAATTCGAAAATTAGCGTGTATTTAATTGCCACTTATTGGCGAGTCGGCAACTAAACAATCACTTGCGCACCATTTTCGATTGAATTACCTTTATTGTATTCTGAAAAGCAAGTTTCCTTGCTGTAATCTTTTAGTTGCAATGATTAAAAATTAGCCAGTGAGAGCACTCACATTCAAAAAAATACGTTCAATTTTGTCAATTAAAATCACTATTGTGCACTCCGCTTTAGGGGTAAAGAAACAATTATCAAACTCTCCATCATTGTGATACAGTAGACCCCCTATAACACGGTAGATAATTCCGTGTTATATGAATTCCATGTTGTTCGAGTCACTTAGATTTTACAAATACGTGTGCCGTTCACAGCCCGGCACACGTATTTGTAAAATCTAAGTGACTCGTACAACATGGAATTCATATAAAACGGAATTATCTACCGTGTTATAGGGGGTCTACTGTATCACAATGATGGAGAGTTTGATAATTGTTTCTTTACCCCTAAAGCGGAGTGCACAATAGTGATTTTAATTGACAAAATTGAACGTATTTTTTTGAATGTGAGTGCTCTCACTGGCTAATTTTTAATCATTGCAACTAAAAGATTACAGCAAGGAAACTTGCTTTTCAGAATACAATAAAGGTAATTCAATCGAAAATGGTGCGCAAGTGATTGTTTAGTTGCCGACTCGCCAATAAGTGGCAATTAAATACACGCTAATTTTCGAATTTGGAGTCAAAATTTAAAAATTGCCAGTAATTTACCGATTAAAAAAAAAAACGGTAACGTTTTGAAAATTTATCATTTTACTGGTAATACAAAAATGTCGTTACATTTGCAACACCTAATACATGTAAGTATATTTAAATCGTTAAGGAATAAAATTTGTCGAATACTTTTATATTAAAGAATCATGGTCTAAAATATAAAATATAGATAAATCTTTTAAAAAAATTTTAAATTTGTTTTTAAAACTTGTTTATATTCGGTCTTACCTCGCTGTAAGTGGTGAGCAAACTAAATACATTGCACGGTTAGTTTCTTGAAGGAAAAAAAAAATCTTCACGTTAGATCGTATCTGGACTTTTTTCTTTTTTTTTTTTGCAATTTTATTGACCTTATTCCACATTCTTAAAAATATTTTTATAAGAAATTAAACGTTTAAAAATTTAGAATCGAATAAAATATATAATTTAGTAGTCTTTCGAACCATTATTGATACTTTTTACATTAAAATATTTATTTTTTACGTGTGTGGTCGGTTAGGCGAACTATCAAATTAATTTTTGAAATTTATACTTTACGGACTTTTTAAATTGGTGGACCGAGGCACACTGATGCGCTCAAGAGATAACTAAATGTGCCACGAATATTATGAAAGTATATTTTAAAAACGAGAAGAAACCAATTTACTGCATCCATGATAAACTAATAGTTAGGTTAGGTCTTTATAAGCTATTATAATACACAGTTACATATAATTTTTCTGGCGCACTTCGCCAGAAAAATTTTCACATTTTACAGTTCGTTGCGAGTCAAGAACCATTAATAGAATTTTCAAGATAAACCTACATTATATTTTATAAGAAATTAAATTTTATAACACGTTTTTTAAATCCAATGCAGTATATTTTAGTGTTTTTCAAATGGGAATCTGATTAAATAACGAAATGTAATTGGTATTTATACGAATTTAGATTTTATAAATGCAATGGAGCTCTTATATACGGTCTCATTTTACTCGTAATGGGTTGTCTGATACTCGATTGCCATTTTCCAGTTGATGTGAAGCGAGAATGAGACGAATAACGACGTCTTTATCGGAACTGCCCATGAAAAATTACGAAATCGTAGCGCTTGATCCCAGAATCTTTACAGATTGCAGGATGATCCTTTATCAAGCGGCAAGCTATTAGTCGTCGTTTTTTATCTCGCAAATTTACAGAAATTATCAAAGCAGTAGTAGCGATTCTGAATTATTTAATATTTTAATGCAAATGTTTAAATCACCGTAAATCTAATTTTGCTTCTGGTAGGTGATGCACAGCAAGTTCTCACTTAACGTCGTTGAGGAATGATACAAGTAAGCTTTATTTGTAATAATTTACAATTGTCGTTATCGAATTTTCTCTAAACAGTAAAACTGATTCTATGAAATGGAAAATGAATGCTGGAAGTTGTAAACATGATTGATTCAATTAGAATAATATTAACCGAATTATATCTTGATTACATTATTTATTCTATGGTAAAATTGATCTCTTTATACTTAACGTCGAAGTTTCCAAGACCCTATCGCTAATGTTAAGAATCCCTAATTTATTATTACGAAGCGATCTATTAATAATTATAAATAATCTTACAAAAATAATTGAATCACTTCCTTTACAAATTATTTATTTCGACTTTTTATAAACGCATTTTAATATATTGGATTAATAAATATATTTTACATATGTGCAGGGACGTATATGTTTGGATTGCTATTCACAAGTATCCTAACTGACGCACTGAAGCTATCTACAGGTCGGCACAGACCGTATTTTATCGAAGAGTGTGGTGTCAACAATACTGTATGTCAGTCTACGAAGTATATGTATATTTCTCCTTTTCAGGTAGTTTGCAAAACACCCGAAGATAAACTGAGAGAAGCCAGGTATTGATTTATTTTTAATGTATCAATATAAAAATGCTATTTTAAATTAAATAAATGCATAATTTATATTAAAAATACGATAGTTTATCAAGTGAATT